AAAAAAAAAAACAGTATAAAAACAGTAAGAGTATGAAAAAATAATATAATATAAACACTGTACAAGACCTGTTTGAGAAATCAATTTCTGTTAAGCAAGGATGTGACTTTTTTTATCTGTTGTCTTGTATTTTATCTAAACATAAATTTCACATTTTGTGTTTCTCAATATTCTTACAGTCCAAACTGGATGACTATCAGGACAAGAAGAACAAGGGTGAAAGACTGAATCAGGATCAACTGGTAAGACAACTTTTAAACAACCTTTTCATTGCAATGTGCTACAATATAAATGCTATAAAATCTTATTAACCCATATAATAGTAAATTACAAATAATAATTACCTGTATCAGAATCCCATCAGTGTTATCAAATGTTCTGGAAAACCATGCATCTTTATCTGTGACTGTATCCTGTTCTTTTAGAGGAAAATATTTTTTTAAAACACATCTCAATTTTCTTCCCATGATGCACCTGAAGGAGGCCTTGACGAAGTACCAAGAGATCATCAACAACCTTGAGTTTGCTCGAGAATTGCAGAAGAGCTTCCTGGCATTGGGCCAAGAGGTGGGTTACTATTGTTCTCATAACTTGCTTGTTAAGGTTAATTTTTAAGGCTTTATCAGTATGATGTTTAGTAACATTGAGTGGCCACATCAGGAAACCCGATATTCCATCTCGGTCACCAGTTTATAAAAAAAGAATTTACTGAATACAGACTGCCTCAGTAAAGCTTGAAATATCAGAGGTCACGAGAGAACAGGAGAGTGATTGGCATATCAGCAATACTTGTCTCTGCTCTCTGACCTTTTAGATTTTACTAGTGCAGCCATGTGCAGGTTGGAACTTAATGGGGTTGTTACTTGTTTGGGAAACCTCGTGAGACCAAATGCGCCAAAACATGTGTGACTACATGTGTTCAGGTTCAAAAGGCAGTGAAGAAAACTGCAAGACGGGAACAGCTGCAGCGGGAGGAGATGGAACAACGGCGGCTCAAGACAGTGTTGGAGCTTCAGTTCTTACTGGACCAGTTGGGAGATGACAGTGTCAGGCAGGAGCTCAAACGGCCCGATGCTACCGGTTCCCCTTTGCTCACCGACGCTGATCTTACATCCCTTGATGAGTTTTACAAACTGGTGGGACCTGATAGGAACTACGACGTCAGGTATGACAGTATCTGTGATTGTCAGTGCCGCTAATATTTAAGTGTGCATACGTGTTTAACCTGCTCAGTGAGAAAGGATACGGAAACATACTACCATATTCTGTTTCACCATGTTGTTTAATTTTCAGGTTGACTGACCAATATGAAGAGGCCTCAGTACACTTATGGGAACTGCTAGAGGGCCGAGACAAGGCGGTGGCAGGGACCACATGTAAGTATTTCCACCGCACAAACACAATTAATTAGTTAGTGAATGTACATGTATATCATTAAGCCATGCTTTTGTTTTCTGACTTTCTTTCACGCTTTCTTTGTTCCAGACAAGTCACTGAAGGACACTCTGGATAAAGTGCTGCTGAGTGGTTACTTTGACAGAGCACAATCTCATCAGAATGGGATGTGCGAGGAGGAAGAGGAACAAGAGGAGCAGACTGTGGTGGCCGAGTCTAAGGCTGTGACGCAGCCATCAGAACCTGGTAACTAACAACACATGAGCATGTGTGTGAGATATTTCTTTGACCCAGAAAAAAAAAAAAACTATCCTCACATTTTCTTGTTTTCTCCAGAGGGAACAGCTACTGAAAAATACACAGAACCAGTTAAAGTGGAAACCACAGAGGTGAGATTTCTTTTAATATTGCATAACTGCTGTATAACAAATCACAGGTTCGAAGTTGAAAGCTATTTTATTTTATTTTTTTGTTTTTATTACATCTTCTTACTTGGAAATGTATTTTTCCCTGTGTTATAGTTCATAAACAGACAGTTCATTCCAGAAACACCGTACAGTAATACAGACAAAGACCAAGTGGAGGAGTGGACAGTGGAGGCTCAGGTATGCTGCACCACAGTCCTTAATGCCACTGTGCATGTTTCTCAACATCTTGTATTTGCATGTCGTCTAATGTGCCTGTCACACGTGTCTGTGTTGAATAGATGGTGAATTCCCTCCAGCACCAGCCCCCTGCCCAGCTCGCTTCAGAACCAACCGTTACTGTGAACCATGACACTCACACTCCAACCAATGACCCAGTGATCAGAAAGCAGGCCGTGCAAGACCTCATGGCGCAGATGCAAGGGACGTACAACTTCATGCAGGTAAAACAGTCAGACGTATACTGCAGTGTCCAGCTCAGTGCTATTGCTGCTCAGAGATGGACACTCTTTCAAATGGAGGTCACACAAGTCAGGTGAACCGGTATCTTGTTGTAAGATGTTGTAATCTCCCACAAACTTAAGAATAAACCATAATAAAAGGAAATGTTACAAAGAATTTTAAGGATGACACCGACTCTTAAATTTAAAGGGTAGGGTCCTATATCACTTTGTTATGGCACGCCCCCCAAACCTGATCCATGACCCAACCAAACATCTATTCTTTGTTGCTTCTCCAAGGACTCCATGTTGGAGTTTGACGGCCAGGCTCTGGACCCAGCCATCGTGTCTGCCCAGCCGATGAAGCCTGGGCAGACTGTTGACCTGCAGCAGATGGGCTGCCCTTCAAGTGAGAGCCAGTTCATTTACCTTGACTCTGAACAGATTCCTTCACAGTTTCTATTGAGTAGGGTTATAATGTCTCCTTTTTTTTTCAATAATTTTTTCTTCCAAACAGCCCTCTCAGAGTCCAGACTCCCTCAAACAAGTTCAGTGTCTGGACCACAGGAATCCTCACAAGTAAGTAGAGTGGAAGCACCTCAGGAAGTGGTTGTTTAGATTTGCCTGAAAGGGTGGTGCATCCATTGAATAACAGCAGCACAAGTCATTTCTTGTATAATGTGCGCTGTGTTTCTAAAAGCACTGTTATGTGGATCAAAAGTGATGCTCTCTGATGTGTCATGATGTTATCTACTGTGTATTACAGGGAGATATTGGCTTCGTTTGAATATGATGATGACGTAGGAGTTAGTTTAAGTAGCCAAATCAGAGATTTCCTCTCTCCCATTGATCTTTCCACAATCCTTCCTTCCTTGCTTTTTGAATTCCCTCCTTCCTTCCTCCCCAGGTCTCGATGTCTCTGTCGTCTGAGCAGTCCCCCGCCCCATGTTCCTTGTCCTCTGCCTTCCCACCTGCCTCCAAACCCTCTCACACTGGAGGCATCAATGTCAACGCAGCACCCTTCCAGTCAGTGCAAGCGGTACGCTTTCTATCTGGGTCCAGTTAAACAATATAACGGTGAACAAGTTTGGACTTGTTTAACACAGTTAATTGGAAACCTTCAGGTTCTGTATTGGTTTGGTTAGCAAAGTAAAACCAATATTGAAGGCCGGTTAACAAAGCTTTTTAGCAGAAGCAAAATTATTATCTAAACAGGCAACAGTTTGTTCTCTAAGCTACAGTACGCTTTGTTGTATAGAAATTGTGATACTGTTTTGGTATGGACAGACAGAAAACCTTTCTTTCCCTCTTCAGGTATTTAATATGAATGCGCCTGTACCTCCGGTCACTGATGGCCAAGCAGATCCTCTGAAGCAGCCCAACCAGTTCCCTGGTGGCTATGGACAGGGCTTTAATAGCCAGCCAGAAAGTACCGTAGACCAGCCTGACATCCCACAGGAGACATTACAGTCAGGTGAGGATATCTCTTTGGCATACACTGGAATGCTGTTGACTTTGTGTCACCTCTACATTCAGTTTTAAGTAATAAGAGGAAAAAACTAAAAAATGTAAGGTTGTTTTTGCGTATTATATAGAGACCTTGAAACTCCTAAAGATATATTTTTATGTTCTTATGTAACCAGATGTTATGATAATAGATACTTCTGTGTACAATATTTTGTGTGCAATAAGAAAATGTGTTGGGAGTTCAGTGGACTACATAGTACTGCCTCGCTGCAAGAAACGGCCCCTTTGTTGACAATAAAGTTGAAATGGGAGTCGATCAGCACGCTGTGAGGCAGAGAAACCGCAGCTTTTTCAGCTTGCACAAAGTTCTTTTGTATTTTACAGCTAAACTGCATAACTGACCCACCAGTGCATCGTACACTTATACAGTCTTCCATCTCGTTGCCGTCTGTGCAGTTGTTGGTGGGTTCCAGCCCCAAGAACAGGTTATGCCCTCAGTAGGAGGTCATGAAGAGCCCTCACCAGGCGCAGGGTTCGGACAGTCGGGACAGTCCTTTTACAACAGCAGGGCTGTGTCCAGGGGTGGACCCAGGAATCCCCGAGGTATGATGAACGGATACCGGGGATCGTCCAATGGATTTAGAGGTACGAGCATCTAACTATGTTTTACAGAGATACAATTGCCATGTGGCTACAACATTCATTGTATTGACACAATACATGTTGGAGTATTAGTGGCAATCCTTTGTTCATTCTCATGTCGTTTGTCATCAGGGGGATATGACGGCTATCGCCCACCTTTCTCAAATGCTCCCAGCAGTGGTTACGGTCAAAGCCAGTTCAACACATCTCGAGACTATTCCAACAACACCTACCAGCGGGTAAGGGTTCCTTTCATTCTTAACCTTAATACACTTCTGTACTAAAAAGTAAATGTTATTATCTGTTACTCAGTGCATCTGCTGTCTTTATTTTAAAATTGTAAATTCTTGGTGTTTCTTCTAGGAGGGATATCAACAAAACTACAAGCGGGGAGCTGCCCAAGGACCTCGAGGTTTGTCTCGAGGAAACGCTCAAGCAATGCGATCCTAAAGGATCTTAAAGACCGTCAAGTCGCGCCACGTTTAACATTCAGGATTTTTGAATGTGTTTGCCCCAACTCACTTTTATAACAATGTTTTCTTTCTCATTGGTAATCTTATTTTTTTAACTCCTGGCCTACTTATCAGAGTCAGTCTGCTTTGGTCTGTGTAGATCCTCTTAATGTTTTAACACAAAATGCTGAACTTCACCACATGTAGGATTATCAGCAAGTCTGTGATATAAAACAACAAATAGATATTCCTGTAAACTTGAAAGATTTCATTAATTTATTTTTTGTACAAAATAAATGCAAAAAATACCCTGCCACTGTCGATCTGATTCCATGAGAATAATTTTCTTCTGCCCTGTGCTGTCAGCCACTTTTTCCTCTTGATCTTATAATTTTCATAAAGCCATTTAATGTGTTTATTTCTTTTTTCTTTTTTTTTTTTTACCCCTCTGTCACCTCTTGCGCCATCACCTCTTTGTACGCTGATGTTATTGGTTGAGACTGTTTCAATAAAGTTGTGTTCTATTACCTTCTGTTTAATGATACTACTTTCCTGCTTGGGTGTGCATTTAAAGTTCTGCTATTTTAATTCCGTGTGCTTTTTACACGTCAGATTGGTGGTAGTGGTGTGCAGAGGCGGGTCCTGCCCATCACTGAGCCCTTCAAACCAATGACAGATCGGAGTACCAGTGGTCTGTCTTCTGTCACTGGGTCACATACTGTATATGGAACATTGTGATCAGGTCATTAAAGCGACTGTGTAGACTGAGACTTCGACGTGTACCATTAACAGCACATGCCTTTTAAGATGAAACCCTATGAATAAAGTTTTTGAGGGCAACCATCACTTTTTTGCTACGGTCATACTGAAGCTTTCTATTAGGACAAATTTCTTTGTTTTACATCTTTTATATACTGTATGTATGGATTGCCGTACGTAACTGTTTTACATTGTACTGTAACAGTCATTCAAGTGATCAATTTTGTTACACAAACTGAAAGGTCATAACTGTTTTATTGTTTTGAACCGAGGAGTACAGTATTGTCAAATGAATATTTTATCCGTCAGCAAGCGGAAAACACCCATCTGTACATTTTGTGCAAATTATGATGCAGTATTGTCTCAAAGGAACACTTGGCACACAGAAAACAAATGACACTGCCAATAAAAAAAACAGTATGTATTCCATATCTGAATTTTGTATGAAATAAAACCACAATAAGGCAGACCTGTTATTTTACTGGATGCAAATGAAGCCTTCTTCTGTAAAAAAAAAAAAAAGTCATGTCAACACCTGTCTGCCAGCTAGAAGAAACCACATGAAAAAAGCAACCTGGATAGCACAGCAAGTAACACCAAACTGGTAATCTGGGAACAAAATATGCCATGCTATTAAGTTTTCCAAATAAGGACAAAGTAATACACATTTGGTGCCAAATACAATAATGGGAACTGAAGGAAAATTCAGAGGTTTTCATGATATCACACTTTAACTTCAAGAGACTATCAATCAGACAATAAAGACACTGGTAATATCAAACTTTACTATTACTGACTCAGAGGTTTGCCCCTTTTTTTCTGATAAAATCTTTAAATTAAGTGAACTAATTAAACAAATCCAGCAGCTGCTTCAACAAAACACTTTGAAAATTGTGATGAAAGACACCAGAGTTTACACATCGATAAATTGAGCTTCTTAACACCTTAAAAGCGGTTTTATTAAACAAGTTAAAAATCATGATCAATTATGATTAACTCATAAATAAACATGTCACACACATTTTGTGCGTGAACAATAGACCGAAATCAAAATGCCCATCACACCGTTTAAGTGTACCAAAGTAAATATATTATTTCAGAGGCCACATTTGGCCACCCATACTGTAAGAAACTTTATACTTCCATATAATAAGCATCTGCAGGACTTTGGGCTGTGGGGTGAAGTGGGGTAAAATGTTTGTTGAATGGGGGATATTCCACACCTATCTTTATTTAAAGAACCTAGCACCTTTATTTTACCAAAGTCAGCGGAGAGCAGCTGCAGTGTGGCCCAAAAGTGGCCAGTCTCTGTAGTCCTGTACCCAATGTCTTTTTAGGCAGAGCACACATTTTCTACAGTTGAAAAAATCTGACTTTACACATGCAGCTGGCAGATTATGAGAGCAACCACAATCAACATTAAGAAAGTAGCAAAAGTACTGTTTTTTTTTTTTTTCTTTCTCTGAGCAACATGGCTTCATGAGGGCATTTCTGATTAAAGCAAATGAAAAGTGTTTTCTACAAAGATCTGACCGGAGCCTTGTAGATTATGATTATATGATACAGGGACGGTTTGTATCAAGAATTCCTTACTTTTACTTTTAACGTGAAATGGTTCCGGTTAAAATTATACTATAGTGCCTCTTTGGCTCTTAATGCAATATAAAATCTTGAAATGTTCTAAAATGTTTGACACATTTCAGTGAAACACGTTTCACCACAACTCACACATATAAACTAATCTCTTTTCTAAAGACGTTTGGGGGTATTTTGAGTAGTCAAGTCAGAATTATCAAAGTCAGAATTATCAAATTAAAATTACATTTTACACCATATCCCCCTCAAAAGCTGCACTGTACATATCCATCAGGTTTTAGAGGTTCTGTACTTTTAACAGTAAACAGCAGGTCAAGACAGCTCACCAAAATGTATATTTCTGTATGATTGTGTTACCAAACATTCTTGACAATTTCTAATGTAACCAAACACAACCCCTTGAAAATGCAGGTAAGCACATCGTTGGTTGGTCATTTTACTATTGAGATTCCGTTATGTAATCCAAGGATAACAGTTATTATCAAACACTGGTGTCATTCAATAGTGATTCCTTTTGTGCTGCTCTCCTTCATCTCAAGTGTCCTCCAAACCCCTAAGTCATGCTGGTTAAAGAGGCCTAATACTCAGGAGGGACTGCTCCTCTGCACGCTGGAGTGGAGGTGCTGCTAAAGTCTGGTTGTGGAGGTTCAAGTTCTGACAGCATTGTTATGGCAGATTATGCTGGCCCTGTGCAGCTTCTTGGTGGCCTGGTGGCAGATCCTGGTGTGTCTGGGGGAGACCATGCTGAGTCAGGACTTCATTTTGTTGTTCATGGTGTTCCTGAAGTGTGTCTTGAGGAGCTTCGGGTGCCAGTTGTTCAAGATGCAACTGGTTTTCAACTGCATGGATCTCTGGGAAAGCATTTCCTTCGACTGTGACAAAGAAAGAGTTTTACATTCTCAGATGTGAGCCTGTAATATAAAACAACTATCAAAAGACAAACAAAATGGTGCAAGCGACACTCACCGTGAACCTCAGGAGGGGGTTCTACTTTCTGTGATTTCAGCCGTTCCATATGCTCAACTGCCTGTGACAATGGAGATTCAAATAAAACATTGTTTTTTGGAAAGTGCACACAGTACTATGGATAGTCACACTAATTGGGCAAATTTGATAACTTAAATAACATATAGTAACATAGAAAAAACATTTTTATCAGAAAATGTGATTTAATGTGTTCAGATAAAAACCTCAACAGAACTACTACTTCCTAATAAACCTATAACATCAGGTTTGGATTTGAAAACAATAGCAAACTTTGTCTGCAATTAAAATATTTCAAATAACTGTACCACCCTGTACCTGTTGCAGTTCAACTTTCTGTGCATTAAGCTGCTCCTGTTGTCTCTCCAGCTCGTCTCTCTGTTTCTGGAGGTCAACAGCCTTCAGGTTGAGGTCCTGTTCTTGTTGAGCAAGATGTTCCTCAAACTCTCTCATCTCCTCGTCTGTGTAAGCCTGGTTCTGCTCCAGGGTCTGAGCAACACACAAGTAGATGTGACATCATTCATTACAGTTGTACTTTTTTTTTTTTTAACAAAATGGTTTTAGGATTACATCACTCTTAAATAATGTCAACGTGATAAATATATTGTGTCTCACCTCCCAGCTATCTGGCTCCAAGAATTCTTTTTTCTTTGTAGCAACCAGGAACTCATCTAAAGAGACCAGCCTGTCTTTGTTAGAATCCACCTGTGAGAACGAGAGGAGCAAAGAGCTTTATGCAAAGAACAATTAAATATGATATTACTTATTGACAGAGTCTAGGGAATAGATGACAGATGGAGGGCTGTATGTATGTGCATATGCAAAAACATTTCATGATCGTAGGATCGTGAGAGCTGACTTACTGTACCTCATTCATAACGTGTTCTCTCATACGTAGCCTCTCTTCCTCCATCTCCACCATATCGTCCTCTTCATTGGTGGGGTCATAAATTTTTTCCAGCTGAAATCACAACACAACGGTCAGTGCAAAGACCATCCACTGAGACATTACACATTTTCAGATGCTGTGGCTTTACCTCTTTGGTGAACAATGCCTCCAGTTCCTGTTCATCAAAAAAGCCATCTCCATTGGTATCTGCATTATAGAGAAAGAAACAAAGTGGTGGTGAACCATTATCTGTTATGTTACATATAATATAATAATTATTATTATGTCACATATTGTACAATACAGAGAAACTAAATAAATGGGCAGTTGCCGGTTGGTAAAGGTCTTACCATGCAGGTTGAAAAAGGTCTTGGGGTCAAAATCTTCAGGGTCCAAACCATCAGCTTCCTCCCAGACCTCCTTCAGTTGGTTATGACTGCCCTGCAGCATGGAAGCAAAATTACATTTGAATTACAGCTGGATACATAATTTCAAGATTTTGGTACAGTACACATGGAACAACATGTAGATTCAAAACTGCAGCAGGGTATGGGACAGAAAGAGTTTCTCTTCATTGGCTAAAACAAAACACATCACGTCTGTGTGTAATGTTGTCAGTCGTGTCCACCTCAGTCAGACTTACCGGGTGGTTGACTTTAGGATGGTCCGCATGCTTCTTTCTCATCTCCTCGTAGTGCTCCTCCTCTTTCTTTCTTTCGTCCTCGTCCAGTGTTTTCAGGTGTTCCCGTCTGTCATGCTCTTTCATCATTTCATACTTCTTGAACTCGTCGTGTCTCTCTTTGTCATAGTTCTCCAGATCGTTAGTGGCCTTAATGCAGAGAAAACCAATTAGAAGGGCTGGGAACACTTTGATTGAAACCAATAATTAATGTAATATTGTGCAATGTCCCAATTAATAGTTATGGGGCAATAAAATGTTTCCATGCTGTCAGCCCATCTGGAAACTAAACTTATATATTACACTTGTTGCATTCAGTATATTGTACAGTCCCAAGCTCCATTAGTTTCCTGTTGTTTCATTTTGGTATGAAAACATCAAATGTAATAGGCAATCTATCATAGTCCAAATTTTATCTGAAATAATTAATCAAAGTCACTTTATGAGTGTACACACGGATTTGAAAGATTTTGCAGCTCTTAGAGCTCTTTAGTGCTTGTGGGACTCCACATTGCATTTGTGTGCTTTTATGATATAAAATAATACCCCCAAAACTAAACTATATATATATATATATATATAGTTTAGTTAAAAAAAGGCTACATATACAGTACTCTGGTTCCAGGTTGTGAGTAGTACTATGCTCACTTGTTTGTGGACTGAAAAAAAAAATGAACAAACAAACTGAGTGTTGTTCATTTACATACACAGAACAACAATATAATGCAGTCCAGTCCACCATCACTTGCTATGACCTCAATGCTGAAACATCACTCAGTGTCAGTACAAATTGAACATTGTTATTATTATTACATGTTATGGTAATGTAAAGTATATGTGCAATGTAGTGCATTTTAAAATCATCAATAAGAAATGGAATTTGTCTTTAAACATCAACTGAGATACAGGAGCAGGCCTAATGATGCAGCTGTTCTCTACATTTACAACAGCCTTCCTTTACTGCCTGGATGTTGAAAATGTATAGCTGAACAACACTTGTAGTTGTTCTTTAGCCAAGATAACTGATTAACTGTGCCAAGATACAATATTTCTGTAAAGTGTGTACTTTCCATCTGCCTTGTGTATGCTGCCCAGTTACTAATAATAGGTCAATGGCAGATTAAATAAGTGCAATAGTGTGAACATGTCCGTAATTTAACATTGTTATAGCATGAAGTAGCAAAGAGATTTACCGATTTGATGAGTCGATCCAGGTCATCCACTTCAAACGTATGTGGGTTCATGTGGTTTAGGTACTCAAACTGTTTCAGCAGAGCCTGGTGGTCCACTGCTATGTCTAGAGATGACATGAATAAAAACAGATATAGATACAACATAGCATTTTCTTATTTACCTCTAATGTACTTAAGTTGTAGCATCTTACTTTGAATATAAATCATAATGAAATATTTTGAACTTTTGTTGCACAACATACCATTCCCTCCTTCAAGGTCTTGCTTGGCCTTAATCAGAGTTCGGAGTCGGTTCACCTCCTGCCTCTTCAGCTCATCCAGTTTTGTTCTGACATGATGGCTGACAAAGTCCAGCTCTTTGGCCAGCTTACCTTGCTGTGTTATATATGAATGATGCAAGAGTTAGTGTAATTTCACAATTGGGGTTGTAGAAGTGCATGTAAACAAATATATGTGATATGACTCAAACCTTTCACTAAAACAACATTGGTTATCAGTATCAGTATTAAATAAATGATGGAGTGGACCAAAACTCCAAAAAAGATAATAAAATCTATTGGCTGATTGGAAGTATTTCTCAAAAAACATGTGAAAGGACAAGTGACCCCACAGAGTAATGATTTACTAACAGTTTACTCAAGGCTGGTGGAAACGTCCCACCATGCTGAGAAGTGTAAACTAAATAAGAGCAGGATACCTTGATGTCTTCCATGTCTGTATTGTGGAGCTTTTCTCTGAAATGCTGATCTTTTTCCAGGAAATCAATGACTTCCCTGAGGTAGCGGTCATAGTGGAGTCCAGTGTCCTACAAAATGTAATAATAAAATGTCACTTAAAATATATTACAGATAATACACCAATCAATTATCATTTTTTATTACATTACTCTACATAATAACATTATTATCAGCACTTGTTTGAGAGGTGTGACGTACTGATGGCTGAGTAAGTGAGTAACAGAATGTTTTACTTTCATAGGATACAATGTGTCTGTTGAATAACCATTAATGTCTATAAACTGTACTAGGCCTTCTGCAACTTGCCAAAAGCTGCAGCTGTCCTGTGGTTAAAAAACACTTACTTATCTTCAATAAAAAAGGTTGCATATGTATGCATTCCCACCCCAAAACAGAATCTACATGCTATTTGTTAAAGCTCTGTTAAGTCAATATGTCAATGTGTCACATGGACAAACCTTTCCCCTGAGGCCGACATCAGAGACTCCAATATGTGCACTCACAAAGCTACAACATCTGGAGCTGTTGTACTGATGATAACATGGATTTGTGAGGTCATAACTTTTGAGTGGAGTGTCTGACTGAGGTAATTTAATTGTAGTGCAATGAGACATCAGGCCGTCTCTCATTTATATTAGCCTGAGTGCTGCTACCAAACTCTCTCTTGTTTACTGCCGATGAAGCGGCTGATAACAGCCACATAACTGCCTAGCATCAGGGCTGCAACTAACACGACATTCATGCCGATTCATTTCTGAACATTGCTTAATCATTTACGCTAGAAAATGGAAAAAGGGAAATGGCCATCACAAGTTAACACACACATTCTTGAGTCCGTTTACTCTGTCTGTCCTCGGGCCCCTAAAAAATGAAGTATTCCATTTGAAATAATATAAAATTGAAAGAAATCTCCCTCTTTGAGAAGCTGTAATGAGCAAAAATTTGTATTTAATTAAAAAGTGTCTATTATCAAAGACAGATCTAAATTTAGATGACAGAATTGTGAGGCAATAGACATAAAACATAATAGACATAATTAACTCCTCTCTGATGTATTTTTAAATCATGTTAAGGCTACCTACCATGGCTGTAACACAAAGGAACTAGGATTAGGCTTTGTGATGTATACACAGAGAGGTGAATATATATCTTATGTCTTCTTACCACGTTAGCTGGAGGCTCTTCAGGTGTTTTCTCTGGCTCTTTGACTTTTGTCTTATCCATACTGATGGGCACTGCCTCTAAACACAGCAGCTGGACCAGCAGCAGAGCCCAGCTGGTGAGAAGGGCCTGGCTCCAACACATCTGGAAATGGGAACAATTAACGTTTAACATTACAGCATTATTCACATTACACAGTGTGTGAAGAGAGTCAACGTGTCTCTGGATATTCAGGCCTCTGTGTGGGCCAGCTTCCCCTTTTTGCTCTTCTTCGAACAGCTCGTCCAGCCAGCATAGGTTGTACATTAGTGGCTAAGCTAATAATCTCCAGAGGAAGCTGTTGGTGTTAGCTTTAGCACTGCCACTGACATATAATGGCTAATGAGAATTAAGCACCTCAGCTACTCACATCTGCTGTCAGTCTAACTGCGTTGCTGTCGCTACTTGTTCAGGACACTGGACGTAATGTTAAACGCCCTAAAGAAATGTCCCTAAAGAGCCCCATGTATGTGTGTCACCGGTGTACTCACTTTATGATGACTGCTGGACTTCATCTGCTCTGCTTTCCTCGCTTCCTCTCAGCTGGAGTTGTGTCGGCAGGCCAGCTCCCTTGGTCAGCACGGTAGGTTGTGAGCAGCGGTGGCGGTGACCGCAGTGGTCAGTTCCGCTGTCTGTCAAACGGACTAGCAAGTTAGGTTGCACTGAGTCGTACGTGGCGAGATGACGACGGAGCAGGTGGGCGGGTCCTTTCTCGTTTCTGGTCAAATGAAAGAACAGCAAATTAGAAAGAGTGAAGGTCAGGAAACAGTCGTTAAAGCCAGGGAGGATAACGCCAGTGATGCTCCGTGATAAAATGTGGCTCTCTCTTTTATGGGCACAGATTTTATATGTACGATTTATATGGATTCCTCGCCGGTAGCCTATCTAATGAATAATAATAAGCACATCTGTTTGTTTATTATTTCATTTGTGAGTAAAGGGATGCTTTTGAATTGATTTACAAGTAGGTGCAACACATGTACTATTATTTCACTGTAGTGGTGCTAAACGTAAGCTTTTTAAATAACGTACTATTTTTTTTTGTTCAAGCTTTTAAAAATATTTGGATTTGTTTTTATTTTCAATGTTTTTATTCCTGTTTATTTGTTCTACTCATTCTATTGTTTTATTACTTCTGTACTCATGTTCATTATTGTTATTCTATCTGCCTTGTTTGGTTTTTTTATTTGTGTCCTCCGGGGCGGGCGGGGGGTAAAAGGTGTAAGCAGCACTTTGTAACATTGTTAATACGTGCTATATAAATAAGTATGTATCTATCCAATACATTATATAGTAATAGACCACAGTGTTATAAACTAAAACTCCCATTAGATAGTCAATGATAGTGATATCGGCCTGTACATTCAATAATGTTACTTGTGAATAGAAGTGAAATGTATTTATGTAATGTAATTACGATTAAAAGTTGCTTATTCGGTATTATTGGTCGATATTAGGATGTACACTTATACGGGCTAGTTGGATTTTATCCTAGAGAGCTATGGCATTAGGCCAGCATACTAGATTTGCTAAAGCCGGTAAGCTGGAAGTACAGTTGTTACTGAATTTAGATAATGTCTGTTTTTAATCAAACTAGACGACGCACTCTTATATCTGCGTCGTACCCGCTAATCATCATGTGCTATCAGTACTGCGCTTGATACGCACTGGCAGGATAATTGGTAGGGGAAGTACGTATAGGCCAGAAAATATACTGCGTAAGATACTCAAGTAAAGTACTTTAAAATTACACTTGTATACACTTGTATAGTACTTCAGTAAATGTGAGTAAAGTTGAGTAAAACTTATTTTTCCCTCAACTCAGCAGCAGTCTGTGATTAATGGGTCCAAGTTCACCTTAGACCCCAGCCCAGCTTAATGTGCACGGGGAGATCTTACACAGAACCTCTTGGTTATACTTACATTTGTTTCTTCTCTTGATGCACTTTGCAGCCTGCACAGACTGATGAAACTAGAGCCTCTGAGAGCTTTCTGAAGACACTCAAAGAAATTATAACAAGTGCTATAAGTAATCCTAAAGAAGTCATACATTATTCCATGTAATGTTTTGCCTTGTATGCAAATACCCCGACGCAGTGATCCATTAGTTATATCTGTGATGATAATGATATCTGCATTTTGTGTGTAATGCAATTGTTAGGAGTCATTTGTAAACATAAATCTGACACTAACAGTAAAAGGAACTGAATCCAATATGCTGCTCTCTAGTTAGTCATTAGGGGGCACAAGCGTTTTGACACTGAAAGTTGGTTAACTTAACTGCTTGTAAAAGTACAGTGTGTTCATTGAGTTTTATTATACAGTACATAAAAGTAAAAATTACAGATGTGAAAAGATTTAATCTGTGTTCAAATTAGATTCCCTCTTGTTTTAAAAGCTACTTGGACCAGCTTGGATAGAGGGCATACATTCATTGCCAAGGAGTTGTAAAAACATTGGCTTTCTGCTGGAACTATGGGTGCTAAAATAAAAATCCAAAAAGACTATTTATGAGCCTTGGCAGGTACAGGAAGACAATGAATCTAATTTTTATCTGGATCAGTTGGCTTATGACTAAATATAACATCCCTGCCCTGCAGGTGTCAGTGTAATAGTTCAATGAGCTGGAAGGCAATTAATCATTGTCTTAGATCATAACTAACATAGAAAGTGAAAGGAAGCTAGAGCATATGGGGAAGATCAGCACTTCTTTTTAATCAACAACAACTAAACTAAACATCATTAAATGCATAAGACATAAGACATAATGAACAGGAGACTGCTGTTTACATATTACTCTAAACTGTGTGTGGTTAATAATTTAGACACAACTGAGACACTTATACATACACATTTACATACCTTCTCCTGCTCAGATTAAGGGAGAAAATGTCAGAGAAGATGCTATTGATTTCCTATGTGGGCATCTGCCAGATAGATTAGGACCCAAACTATTCCAAGCTGAAGAGCTGAAAGTCCGAAGAGAACAAGAGAATCTTTATTACGTTTTCTGCTCAGCACCTTTAGTAAGCTGTGATTCAGCAGGAGGAGGCTCTCTAAGGAGAAGACAATAACATTGAGTCACCTTGCTGCATTGTGAGCCTCTGGCAGCCGAGAGGCAGGAATCAGCAGCAGCAGAGACCATACTGCAGAGCTGCACTGGACTGCGCATCAACTATGTGTGCATTTTTTGTGTAAATTACTATGTATAAGTGGGTGTGTGTGTAGTGGGGATGATGATTAATCATAGCAAGGTCAAATAACAGCAATTGAGTGGAGACACCAGATGATTACACTGCAGTATGTATGATGCTCCAGCTACCCTGTGCTTCATTTTTGCAAACTAGTTGCAGAAAAGACAGTAAATTAATTGTGCACCAAATTTAAGTGCAGCAATATCAGTAATACCAAAGTATTATTGTTTTATCTAGACAGTATTTATGCCTGTTGCAGATCTCTGTGAATTTCTGCTTGACCTCACAGTGCAGAACACTGATTCCCCAAAATGCGGCATAGTTTCTTCTTTAAATCTGTTGCAACTGGGTGGTGCTGTTTTCATATTGTGAAAGGTGTAATATTGCATCTTATGATTCACAAATTTGGTTTGTTCCTTTGAAGTAAAATAAAGATTAGTGTGAAATTAAAAGAAAAACCAACATACATAACAGGTGTCTTGGTACCGTGTTACTACGAGCTGCTAAAACAGATTTAATGCTCCTTGGCATAGACTGATGGTGACGGAGGGCACTGTCTAACACTCTTAGGTTGTCAATTGGGATTAGATCTGGTGAAAGTGAAAGACCAAGCATATGATATGCATCGTGTTAAAACTCATAAATCATTCACCTTGTGCCCTGTATAGAAGCATGTGTTATTGTCACTTATTCATTCAGCTTTTGAGCTTACATCTCATTTACTTAATAATTCATTTCTTATTTTGTGTCCTATATGAAAAGAGACCCTGAGGTTAGAAACATATAATACCGGGGAAAATCCCTTTATACTTTGACCCTTCAGTCAGCAGATACGTTTTTTCGAGGGTTTACATTAAATTAGTTTCTGCACAGCAGCTGTACCATGTTTTTTTTTAGAGGAAATGTTCTATCTCTCACAATCTTTGAAGAACGGTGCCTTAAACCACTGGAGCTTCAACAAAGCATCCCCAAAAGGGAATCACAGATCAAATATTTATAGTGTTGACAGACGTTGCTCTCTGCTCACTGATATGCATCCCATAAAGTTGTATTTTTCTTTCACAAAGGACACATGAAGATTACTGTCATCTACACGTCACAGGAAACACAAGATGGTCGGGTGTTTCTGCACGTCTTTTCAAGATTGTTTGACAAGTTTATTGGGATACCATCCCCAGCTAAATCATGAGAGGATTGTGTTAATGATATAATAATATATGACAGCACAGCATGATGAAGTGAAACCTTGCTCCTTGTCTCTTGATGCTCAATGCTCAGCGAAATAACTCCTGTGCCAACAATACTATGACTTTGAAAATTGCCTGCCCTCATAGAGCACAAGTGAAATTTATGGGCATCATTGGTAAATTGGGCAGGTCTGTTTGATGCAGTGTAAGCACTATTGCACTATGTCATAGACAGGAAGCCTCTCTGTCCTCAAAGCGTGACTGCAGTGAAGGTGATGTGAGGCTGACAAACTTAATCTAAAGCTTCCAGTACAATTTATGCACAGACATACATTCATTAATTTACACACGCATGCATGCTCCGCTCTGAGCACACACACACTGACACTTTTACAGAGACCTTGTAGCACTCAGATGCTTTTTATTTCTCCGTCTCAAGGTAATATCCATAATTGAAAAAGTGTATGCCTACCTCCCCCTTCACCCCTCCCACACACACGCACACACACACACACACACACACAACGCTTTCCATACCCTGGGTCTTGTGTGATTGTGCATTTTCCACTCTTACCCTCACATAAGGGTTATGGGTAATTCTGTCATTCTTTATTGGAGGGGAAAAGGCAAATCATATAACATCACAGTGCAATAAATTGGGTTTTTGGACAGTTATTGCAAAGTTAAAATATCTGAATCAATAGATAACTTTAAATACTTGGAACATTTTGTTCATTGTAAACTGTTTCAAGTAAATTACATCAGTGGAAGAGGGTATATTGCGACATTTATTTCCGTAATTGTTATAAATTCTGCTGAAGTAGATGACTTTGTTTCGATCGTTTATTCAGTCTGTTTTAAATAAGATTTATGGGATTTTTACTGCGGATGTGATTGTTAACAATTTCACAGGGACAAAGACAAACACAGTTTAGGTTGATGTCACCTGTTAAAATGCAGATATGCCTCCAGATCAGAATCTCACCTGGTTGGGTGGCTGTGGCTCAGAGGTAGAGCACTACTCAGAAGGTTGGCGGTTCGATCCCCAGCTCCTCTCGCTGCATGTTGAAGTGTCGCTGAGCAATTGCTCCCGATATACACTCAGTGTATGAGTGTGTATGAATGATTAGTTCTCCGTTCTGGTGAGCAGTTGGCACCTTGCATTGCAGCCACTGCCATCAGTGTGTGAGTGAATGGGGTGAGCATGGCATGTAGTGTAAAGCGCATTGAGTGGTCGAAAGACTAGAAAGGTCAAGAGTAGGCAACCTCCGGTTCCAGAGCCACATGCTGCACTTCAGCCCCTCTTCACTGGCCCTGAAAAAAAGATAATTAATAAATAAATTAATAATGTTATTTTTTAACATTTTCATTTAATATTGTTGTAAGTGATGATTCTTCTCTCCAGTAGTAAAAATGTTTTAACATTTCATCAAGTAAAATCTGCGTCATACATTCTTCACATACGTTTTTACCTGGCGCATTTTCCTTTATATTTTGCTGACTCTCAATGGCTACTAGCCTTGACTCTTCCTAGCTAGACTACCTATGGCTTCAAAATCCCCCAAAAATGAAAGTGTTGGACAAAACTAAAGAATATAATAATGAATGGACAGATTTGTTTGCTTTTACCACCAACATTGCTGGCTTAGGCATGTTTCATCTGCAGCAAGAAATAGGCGTTGTAAGGCTTCTGTAAGGACAGTTAAGGTTGCTGGCTCCTGCCTACTCTACTCTTAAGTCATCAAATTGAGCTTAAATTGACTTTTAGCATGAATTGTCATTATTTTCTGCCATCACTGACATTCACACAGTGAAGCTATGCATTTGGTGATTCTTAGTAGTAGATTAAACTACAGACACTGGGCACATATAAAGCATAAAAACACTTTTAGACATTCAAAGAAAATTGCATAAAGTATTAGAAGCTAGAAAATACAGTGGCCGTATTCCAATGCCACCTTGGTTGTTTTAACTTACTCCAATGGAATCACCACAATCAATACATTTGCCTGCAGTGTTG